ATTTAAAACATAGTGGAAGTAAATATCAAATTGAATTTAAATAGTATAATTGCAGCTGTCACTTTATTTTACTTATCATCAATTGTCTGTTGGATGAAGTTATGTCCGATTGGTATAACTGATTTCATTAGATATCAATAAATTAATAATAATAACTTCAGTTTAACTGTCATTTTTGTCATCAGTGAGAACAGTTAACTAAATTGTTATGAGTACTTGTCCACTTTGGTATATGTTATTGACTCATGTATCTGTAAGTAGAAGATTTAGAGAAAAATCATATTGTATTATATCCACTGAAACTCTTGCAGTCTTTAAGATCATAAGTTTTATCGTAAGCTCCGACGGACGCAACAAAGGAATGCACTTTGATGCTTCGGTTCAAAGGTTTTTTTTTTGTTCTTTAGTTCCTTTTCGTCCGATCCCCAGACGAGAGTTAATAAAAAAATAAAAGGACGATGTGAATCCTGCAATATTGCGACGCGGTTGCATTCATCCTGCAATGCGAAGACCAAAGTCGCGCACGATAACCGAGCTTGATTTGGGGTATGTCGCTGTATCATTTTGGAGGATGCGCAACCCCTGTGGCCCCTCGGGAGCCGTTCGCAAGAATGAACCCTTATCAACTCCATGATAAGGGTTCCCTTTAAACTATCCCCTTTAATTTTTAACACTCGGACACCCTTTCCCTTTACCTCTTCAGCTGCCGGAGCTTCAAGTTTTTCCCCCATTCCAAATCCGCCGCTCGTCTTTCCAATAAACGAGCAACCAGTTGCCGAGGGGCTCCCCCTATTTTAATATAAAAAAAAGAGAAAAATCATCTCAGAAGTAATCACCACTCGACGTCGTCGCCTCGTGGAACACGATCAAAGCTTCGGTAAAAATTACTTCAATCAAACTTCTTTGATTATTCGATAGAATGTTATGTTTTATAAGATGTTGTATTGGAGGCTTATTGATAAAAAGAATAGAAGTTGTAGTTATGGTTATAGCGTAGAGAGATATGAAATCCTTACTATCATTGATATTTACACTGCGTCCACACTATTCCAGAAAAGAGACAGACATTTCTATTAGCAGTACCAATTAAATATTTCTAACAATAAAGTATATAAAGCCGGATTGTAATGCGTAATTTCTTAACAAAATATCAAAACGATTTTTTTTTTGACATAAAATATAAATTTATGGGTTGATTATTTTATTGATTTACTTTAAAATATTAAGATTTTTTAAAATTATTTCTACTATAACTTTAATTTAACTGTCATTATTATCATCGAACGTCATGATTACCTCTAAATTATTTTTAGCTGGATGAAGTTTTCATGTTGGTGACACATGTCAAATATACAAATTGCTGCTGTCACTTTAGTTAAACTGTCATTATTGTTATAGGACGTCATGACTACTAAATTATTATGTGACTGTCAAACACAATGAATGACTTTGACAGTTTAATTTAGATACATTTTAGTTCCATTGCGAAAATAGACTTTTATGTTTTATTATTTTATTGATTCACTGGAAACATTTTTGTACATATTTGGTGATTACATGAGAAAGCGTCAATTATTGTGCAATTGAGGCAATTTTTAAACATTTATAAAAAAATTAACCCGTAACTGCTCTTGTCATGGTCAATTTGACCTTTTCAATTTTTTAAATCTTTATAGCTGCGCGGAAGAAATTATGTTATTGAATTTTCTTTTTATAACATAAATATCAATTTTCATTTACTTTATTTTTAATAATATAAAGTTTTTAATTAAAACGCATATAAATATCTTATCTACAGTGTTATTTCCGACGGAAGTTGCTTTGCGGTTAGATAATAAAAAAAAGTATATTCAATGCAATTCGTCCTTTTATTTGTAGTCATAATAAATCAGAATTAAAACCAATATTTAAATAATTAAACAAACATTTAGAAAAACTTCCTTTATATTTTTTTTATAATTGACTTATATTGTAGCAATTGGTTAAATCTTGAATAATAAGTAAGAATATTTTTATGTCGTGTAATTTTGTTCACAATCTGTTTATCAATGTGAACATTGAGTAAATTTAAGATTGCGGTTGAAATTCCACTATTTCCTTTGACTGTGAATCTGCGGCTATCCTTAACACTCTCATTGTCCTTCGACTTGGCTGGACATATGGACCTAATATGCTGAAATTCATTCATTTGACTGTTCATCTGTGATGAACGATGGCCCTATTTCTATAAGCACCGAGAGGGCTCATAAAGGGCCTGGCTTAAACCAGGATGCGAAATCGTGAGTAGGGCTATTTAACCATTCGGCTATTAGTCGCCCTAAATAAGAAAATAGGTCAAAAACCATCTTTAAAAAAAAAACAATTTCAAGAACTCAACTTTTCTGCAAAACCAGTTTTCTAATTTTGACAAAATATTAAATACACAAAACAAAACTTCAAAAATACATCAAACAAAATGAATAACAATAAATTACCATAAAATATCATCTTATTTCTGATTTTTTTTCCCAGAAAATATGATTTTATAAAGAAAAATTCCAAAGATAGAAAAAAAAACTCAGTTTTGTGTTTATTCGTCATTAGAGGATAAACCACATTTTTTAATCTTCTGCTTGTACTCTTTAATACTAAAAACTTCAATTTACTCTGCGAGGGGCCAGACATTCCTAAATTGCAAGACCAAACACATTTTTAGACAACCGAGTCAGACAACTACGCCAACTCAATCAAGATCCATCCTTTGATTTACTAACCAAATTAATTATATAATTCCTATATCCTGGACAATTCCTAGAAAATTAGATTAATTCCCCTAGGTATGTTCACAATGGGTATTCTACCTTCCCTCAAAGTGTCTTAGAGTAGGACTAACATGCTTTTCAAATTCTTAAAGATATTTACACTTACAAAAGTGACATAAATGCGTAGTAAAAGGTAACAAAACATGAAAAATAGTAGAGTTACTTCAAAAATGTCCTATGCAGATGTTGCAAGTGCTGATTGGGCTTATTTAATGTTTACGGGAACTTCCCATAAGAATGTACTTATTAATAAACAGTATACATAGTACTTATTAACATAGATCAGTAATTAATAATAAAGTGAACACAATAAAATGACTAACACAAGTATTTCTAATCGGTTTAAATGCCAATATGATGCATCATGTCAGTGCGATAGTAAATATTCAGAGACGGAACTTCAAATTTTTATCACCTACCTGCAAAATATTTTTCATGTTGCTAAATCGATCCGGTTTTTTTATTAACTCTTTGAAATGCCAGAATTTCCTACGTTTCTAGATCCAGATACAAAAAAAATGTCTAAAATGTATTTTGTAAAAACAATATGCATAGTTTTAATGAATTTGCTAATTAGAAAGTGGTACTTCTATTTTCCTAGACTTTTTCTAGAAAATTAAGATATAATTAATAAAGATACAATTGAAAAGGTGGTACAATGCGTGTATCCAGCAAAGAGTTAAGTTTGCTTAGTTGGCGTTAATACATTTGTTTCTGAGAGTCTAGCACAGAGGTTCCCAAACTTTTTTGTATCGTAGACCCCTTGCCATGTTTTTCGGTTTTGGGTACTTATCTGATATTGATTTTTTGTAAATTTATTATTTATATAGGGACATCTTTATAATTATTAAGATCTTTGCTCTGAGACTGC